AAAGGTTTAATGCCATACTGTGAAACATTCCAGAAAAAGCAATAACATCTCCAAAGAGAAAACCATTTGACAGATACTGGATATATTGTAACTTGCATGTGTAATTAACAGTAAGTCTCAAGTCTTTGACCTCAAGTCCAAGTCAAGTCCCAAGTCAAAGACAGGCAAGTCCAAGTCGAGTCTCGAGTCACTGGCCCATAAGTCCATGTCAAGTACAACTCGTCTGTCTCGTCTCATCAATCATTTCAAGTCTTTAAACCAAAATACCAAATACAGCTTAGATTTTTACAATTTATATGAATTTTAAACTAATTTGTACTTAAAAAGTATTTTTATATGAGTTGTAGAAATTCTAGAAATGTTATTTTTTCTTTTTTATATGTCTTGACAAAATCTTAGTGTGAATCATTTTGTGGTCAGAATAGAAAGAATTCAGATTTAAAAGTGCTAAATAATAGCTATTTTGTCATGTAGTTCTCCTCTGTTTTATTGTATTGTAGTACTATATATTACTGCATAGTACTGTGTATTACTGTAGTACATCTGAGGATACCACATCACAGCGCCACATTTATCAACTGTGAAGAGAAAAGTATTTACTAAAAACATATACGTTTTTAGGAGAAGCAGAAAGTCTTCTCAAGTCACAGGCCTCAAGTCCGAGTCAAGTCCCAAGTCATTGACCTTCAAGTCCAAGTTGAGACCGAAGTGTTAGTCCATTTTGTCAAGTCAAGTCTCAAGTCCTAAAAATATTGACTCACAACTTGCAAGTCCCCACCTCTGATAACTAATACAATATATATGATAATGGAAAAAAAATGTTCATATGTATATAGATTAACTCATTTCCATAAAGGGTACAATTCGGGGAGATTTCCAGCTTGGGGACCTTCCAGCCAGGGGGATTTTCCAACTGATTCCCACCCTCAGAAAAGTTTTACAATGCATCTTTAATGTCTCTACCTTCTCTTTAGCTGTTTGGCGTTGTTGTTGTCCTGTCCAAAAAAGCCTTTGGGACAAAATTTATACCTTTTCGCTTTTTAGAAATACTAAAATCACCCAAATTGACTACACTAAAAATACCTTCCTGTAGTAAAATGCAATAAATTGAATCATAGTGTGCCGTTATGAGTACATTCACTATAATCCAACCTTGACAACACAAAACTGCACAAACGGCAAAAACTGCCTAACATTTCTGTTAAAAAGCTTAACAAAACCAGGCATGTTTTCAAAGTCTGTAAATCTAACAACACTTTAAGACAGGTGTTTAAGTGTTACAGATGTGGACAGTCGTTTTGCATCATTCTCCCAAACTGCGGCGCTCCCTTCTCTTCTCCGTGTCGGTTCTTCTCTTGTGACAAATGTAATGATCACTCCAGTCTGCTGCTGGTGAGTTTGCGTTGTCAGGTGGTGTCTCGCTGCAGTTTTCTGACATGAGAAAACCTTTGCACATTTCACCTGAAGATACACAGTCAACAGTTCCAGAGTGCGAGCTATTCCATCAGTTACTCTTTGGATCGTCGTCCGCATCATTTCAGATCGGAGCAGAGCGGCGCTGGAATCAATGCGAACATTGATTGTACCTGAATGTTTCAGCGCCTCGGGGAGTGCGCCGTGTAGGAGTTAATAGATCAGCAGAACCGCCAGTGCAAATACATGGACAAGAACTATTTAAATCTTTATTTACCGTTGCTTTACTCTAGGCTGCTCAATATATCAAACCAAGCATTGTGGTCAGTAGTTGGTCTCTACAAATGTATAAATATCAATTAAAGGTGCGCTGTGTAACTTTTTTGGTAGAGGGCCAACTAGTTTTTTGTTTCCATGGAGATGTTATTGCTTTGCCTGCAGTGTTCCAAAGTATAGCATTAAACTCCTTTGTCAATTAGTGGCTGCACAGTCTTCCTATGACCTCTTGTATAAAGCTGTGATTTAATTTTATTACTTATCTTTCTATTTTATTTTGACTTGTACATTTACATTTATATAATTATGTCTTATTTGACACCTGTATCTTTTTTGCTACTTTGAATTTATTATAACCATTTATATTTTTTACTTTTTGTTATTATATTGTTATGTGTGAGCTACCGTGTCCAAATAATTTCCTTTTGGATCAGTAGTTTGTCTAAGTGTATAAGTCTAATATCGTACCTAATCTGATGATACAGTATCGATATTGTTGGCTGTATTGATATAGGGCCTGTTTACACGAGAATGCTTGAGGGTAAAAACGACAATATATTTTATCAAAAGTGCCTTTGGTTTAGACGGTGACAGCGTTTTTGTCGCTTAAAAATGCAAAAATCTGAAACCACCCTCCAGAGTGGAAAAGTTGAATACGCTCCGTCATAGCGTTTCTGTCTACACTGCCCAAGATGCAAAACTCTGGTCAGATCTACTCATGTCACGTACGCGTTTACGTCACATACATCCCCACCTGGCGTCACTAACGAGCCGTCTGGCATGCATACCCAATCGAATTCTACACACTTTTACATCACCATATACATGCAGATTTCCTCACGAAAACACTCGTCTAAACGCGGAATAAAAATTGAGTATGTGACGCCATTTTTGCGTCTTCTGTCACGACCGTCATCATATAAACATAGCCATATTGCCAAGAGTATTTTTTGTTATATTTTACTCAATTATTTTGTTACAGCGGTACACTTCTGTTGCTCGTTTAGAGGAAGGAAACTCGTTTATGCAACACATTTAACATACTCCCTGTTTTGATGAGTAAAATGTCTGTGTTTCGTATTCACTTTGCGCAAGAAGTGGTTTAACAAAGACTTTTAGTATCACAGCCAAGATTTAGCCATTATTTTCACTGAACCGTATTGAATTGATCTGAAATATATTGTATCGAATCGAAAGTGCAATGTATCGAGATATATATTGTATCGTGGCATCTTAATGATACCCAGAACTGATGTCAATTTCCAGAGAGACAAGCACGAGACGAAACCAGGCCAATTTACAGGTGAGATCTGTAAAAAGGAGTAAATGCATCTTATATAAGTTTAATGCCATATTGTGGAACATTACCGGCAAAGCAATAGCATCTCGGGACGACAGTAGCTCAGTTGGTAGAGCATTTGTGCACTGATCTGAAGGTTTACGGTTTGGATCCTGGTTTTGACATAAAACATCATTGGTTGAACGGACAAGACCCACTGACCCACAGGTTGGCGGTGCGATTCCACCTCCCACAGATGAATGCTGTCGCTGTGTCCTTGGGCAAGACACTTAATTCCTCTCGCCCCCAGTGTCTTTGTCCACTGGTGTGTGAATGGGCGAGTAGTTCCTTGTTGTAAAGCGCTTTAAGTGCCTTGAAAGTGGAAAAGCGCTATTAAAAATGTGACCATTTACTATCTCCATGGTGGCATACCCCCAACCTGAAATCTTTAAACCCTAATGACTAACTTGAATGCACGATTTGGGATTTTTATTTTTTTATTGCTAATTTGAATATTATTTTACATTAATATCCACATTGACCCCTGATTTAGCATAATACTGGGCTCCCCTCCACTGCTGCACTGCACAGAATCTTTGTGATCTGCTAATAAGGACATTACCTGCCGGGCAATGGCTAATTAGCGCCCCATGTAAAATTTGCTGACTTTAGTAAACCTTGCTTTCGAATTCTTTTCAATTAGGTGTGCATGTGCTGCGTGTCTGCCTCCTCCAAACCTGCCCAGTATGCATTATTGCACATTCACAAATAAATAGCATTTGAATGTGTCACTGTCGAAACATATCCTAATTAGCTTTCGGCGTTGTCATTTTTCGTCACCTTTTTGACTGTGGTGTTGTTAACTCTTCATTAGTCTTACTTTTTTGTGACAGATTTGACCTGACTTTTACTGCTGCGCCTGTGAACTCCTAATTGACCCTTTGGCATTCCGGTTTCTGAGCAACCAATGTTTGTAACGCCTGAGCTTTTGATTTAACCGTGGTACAACTTTGACTTCCAAAATCAATTATACTCCAAGAGGTTTTCACACTTTACTGTATAATAACTAGGGGTGTGCAAATATTGATATATCGTATAATTTAATGTGATACAGTATCGATATCGTGGACTGTTGTATCGATGTATCGCCAAGAGTATTTTTTTGGTAAAGTTTACTAAATTATTTTGTCACAGGGCTACAGTTTTGTTGCTTGTTTAGTGGATGGAAACTCGTTTATGCGACACATTTGACATTTTCACAATTTTTGAGGATTAAAATGGGCGTGTTTCATATTCATTTTGCTGAAGAAGTGGTTTAACAAAGACTTTTAGTATCACAGCCATCATTTAGCCTTTATTTTTTATTGAACCGCATCGAATTGATTTGAAATATCGAAACTGCACTGTATTGAGATATGTATCGTATTGTGGTCTATGTATCGTATCGGCAACTTCTTAATAACCAGCCCTAATACTAACTCATTTCAACTGTGTGTCAGAATGTTTAAAAGAAACACCAGGCCTATAAATTTCACACAAATGTAACATTTTTTTTCTATTTTGTCATCCAAAGCATACGGTCTACACCCATAAAAAGTAAAAATGCATTTGGTTTTGATCGCTTTTCAATTGAACTGAGGAATGTGTTTTTTTCCTTCAGGGGAACCAATAAGTCAGAGAAAATTTCCTTTTTCCTTTGTGCACCACTAACATGAATAATAAGTAGTAGTTTTCTTTTGAGTACTAGGATAGCATTAACAATTACTCTTGCATTGAAATACTTCATGTAAGAGAGTTTGGCACTGTGTCGACTTTGTAGTTTTTTGGTAAATCGTACAGTTGCAAGCAAGTCTCACCCTAAACACAAGTTCTAATAACACGAGCAAGTTAATTCACATCACATTTTATTGTACAGTGTCATCGAGAAGATAAATGACCTTGGCTGGAAGCCGATAAAACCACTGTTCTTTTGTTCTGTTTGGAGTGATTTTTCCTGCCTGAACACGCTTACCTTATCTGTGTCCCTTCACAGGAGGAGCACCCGGCCGCGGGGGAGATTGTCCTCTCATCTGACCACCTCCGGATGGTACTACAAGTGGAACGCAATCAGTAAGTGTTCTCCGTCTGCCGCCGCTGCCGCTGCGCTTAAAACCTATTCTTTGTCTCACCTCGGAGGAGAGAGGAATTAATTGGGAGAAGTGAAAGTGGAGTGATGGGATAATAAGGGCATATTAATTCATTTCCATGGTACTCGTGTCTAGACTTGGGGCAGCGCCGCAGAGGTGTCCCAGAGCTGGACTGAAGGGTAATGCTAATCTTAAAGTCAGAGGTGTCTCATTTGAACAGGGAATATGTTTGGAGAGGTCAGAAGGTCAGCACATGGGGTTTCAAGAATTGGTAGCAGCACAAGATAATGTTGAACAAGTACGGGGCATGGGGAGCGGCTAGTTGACCATATGGTAATGTGCGTTGAGTTTTCGGACCAGAAGTTTTGTATCCTTGGTTATTTTTATGTTTGTAAGAATTGTTTTTTGACCCCTGACACTAGAAAATAGATTTCAGGAAATTGGAATCAACATTTATACATATAATAGTGCAGTACCCTTGCAGAGTCAGCACAACAGATTAATCAAGCCAGATGCCCTCCCCTTACTGTGACTAGAGTTTAACACTGTGTGAGTAATGTCAAGGACACAGTAATGGTAAAAGGTAAGTAGTCAAACCAGGTCCAACCTTGTGAATTACTATTAGCAGAGGCGGTGCTACCATTAGGTAAAAGTAGGCTTGGAGGGGCCCCCAGCCAGTCGCCCTCAGTGCCACAAATAGCCGAGGCCTCAAAACAATTAGATTTTCTCTCAATATGACATTAAATGAGAGTAGTTCACTTTTAAACAATTTTTAATAATAATAAAAAATTATAAAAATCATATGTAATGGATGTAAACAAAAATGTAATGTAAATAAAACTACTTTCAGTTCTGGTTATCTAGTGGGCTACCTAACAAGTTTTCAATCCACCATAATTCAAATAAATAGAGATATGCATGTCTCAAGACCAATGGGGAAAAACAGACAATAAATATATTAAAAAAATAAAACAAAACAGAAAAACGGTGCATTATTGCGAGGTCAAGGCAAGTTTATTTGTACAGCACAATTCGTACATAAAGTAATTCAAAGTGCTTTACAGAATAAGAAAAACATTAAAATCACAATAAAAACAAATCAAAACATAAATAATTAAAAAGAGAGAGAGACATTAGTTACATAAATTATAGAGAAGAGTGTGGAATGAAAAGCTTTCAGGGCCCCAAACTCAAGTTCACCTAGGACCTCCAAATTGCCATGGTTATAGTCTACTTTATAATCACTGCTTTTCAATTTAAAACCCTTTTATCAAAGACAACATGAAATAAAATTGCATTACTTTACTTATCATTTCACTCTGCTGTTTTGGTATTTGTTTTTTATGACTCGATATTTTGATACGGCAGCTTCCTTAGTTTGAAATAAGCCTGGATGTAATCACAACAAACCATAAAATCATCTTTCTGAAATTGTTTATTGAAAAGTGTTTTGAAAAGTGTTTTATTTTCCTTTTTGCACCTTTTCATATTTTTATTTCTGTGAACGTGATCAATGTAATTATCTTGTCAAAAATTTGCATGTGGTTGATGTTGTTATTGCCGAGGGAATGTGTCTCTTTGTGAAACAGTTGGTGTTTTAATAAGACAGGAGACATATTTGAAGCACATTTGTTGTTATAGTGGCCACATTTGCGGTAATAGGCTCAGAGCGCTGTCATGTGACCTGCTTGTTATGGCATTACGCTTGGTGGAGATACAGAGATATAGACGGGGCGAGTGATCCTATGGGACACAGTGAAGCGGGGTTCAAGGATGTAGGGGTTACACTGTCCCTGTGATAACATCAAGAGCCGCACATTCAGACCTCATATACGTGCTCCGACTCCCACAGCACCTCATTCTACATGCCCATGGAAATGCGCATCGGGGGGCCAGGCGTGTCAGAACAATTCCCCCCAGGATACAACGGCCTTGCATTAACACACCAAATGGATAACGTCTCCGAGAGCGATATGTGGACAGTTAGATTGGAATTTGTTTGTGATGAGATGATTAAAGTAGACTGGCTCAAAGCGGACATTTTAATAGAGAAGAAGAGCCATTTAGCCATCCTATAGGTACAGATTGTATGCTCGCTGTGTTGCACTGAATACTAATGATGTCGAAAAAGTGCGTTAAATCAAATTGATAGACTTTAAAGGTGCACTACGCAACTTTTATTATTAGGGTTGTAACAATAACCGTAATATCGTGATATCGTATCGTCAAAGTTCTCACAGTAATATCATGGACCATCACAATATATCAAATTACAAGTCTCTTTGCTTAAATTAAGAGTTATGGTGCAGCAATAGTTAAAAAAAAAAAGACAGAGGGAACTACATAGACCATGACCATTTGCTCCATTTCAGTGCAGACTACAAGAGGAAATAACAGTTCTAAGCACTTAAAAAAAAAAAAAGGATATTAACAGTTTTAGCTGTTTAGCCTCTACAAAATATCACAATAAATATCGTTCTCTGAGATGTATATTGTGAAAATATCATACAGAGAGATTTGGATATCGTTACATCCCTAATCGTGAACCTCCTCATCATATCGTGAACTTTCCAACAATATTGCAATAAATATCGTACTGTGAGGTTCATACCGTGACGATATCGTATCATGAGACTTGAATATCGTTACACCCCTATTTATTATTGACATGTCCATCCAACATTTATTCATTACAGGTGTTTCTATTACTTGAAAATAAAATAATTCCTTTTGTGAATAGGCACGACTCTCCACAGATCTGAATTGTAATGTAGCAATGTTGTATGTCTGCTTGGCTTCCTTGTAGTAGATAAATTTAATCTGTACTAGGGGTGTGCAAAAATATATACAATATCAGTATCATGGGCTGCTGTATTGATATATCGCCAAGAGTATTTTTTGGCATATTGTACTAAATTATTTTGTTACAGTGCTACAGTTTTTCAGGAAGTAAACTCGTTTATGCGACACATTTGACATTTTCACTGTTTTGAGAATTAAAATAGGTGTGTTTCATATTATCAATCAATCAATCAATCAATCACTATTAACTTTGCACAAGAAGTGGTTTAACAAAGACTTTTAGTATCACAGCCATGATTTAGCCTTTATTTTTTATTGAACCGCATCGAATCGATCTGAAATATATCGTATCAACTCGTAAGCTCATGGTATCTAGGGATGTAACGATATTCAAATCTCTCGATACGGTATTTTTTTAGAGGCTAACAAAATTGTGAAAATGTAACTTTCCTTTTAAAATGCCTTGACAAGACATTTGTTTTGTCATAAACCAAAGAATTAAGATTCAAACCTGCTTAAAAATTATGATTTTGGTTATTATTTTTATGGCTTTTCACGTAGTCTGCACTGTAATGGAGCAAAGGATCATGGTATATGTAGTTCACTCAGTTTTTTTTAGCTATTGCTGCACCAAAACAATGAATTTAAACAAAGAGACTTATATTGTGGTGGCCTATGGTATTATTGTGAGACTTTGTGAGATTATTGTGTCATGGCTTATGTATCAAGGTATGTATCGTATCGGGAACTTGTTAATGATACCCAGCCCTAATCTATACTGTGGAACATTCTAGACAAAGCAATAACATTTCCACGGAGACACTCCACTAGAAATGTTACGCAGTGCACCTTTAAAATTCATATTACAATGTCACAGTACTAACATCTGAAACACAATTTCAGTACTTAAAAAAATATTTGATACTCGATACTGATTTGATACTGCAATACTAAGTAAGTTGTTTCTTTAATGTTAACAAGACCATTCTATAGATCAAGAAAGGTCAGACTTTTTTCTATTTGTGTCATTTTTGCAGTATTCTATAGTTTCGACACTAGTTTCAGTATCATCAAATAGTGTCTCGGTATCAATTTCTGGACGACCCTAATCGCAGTTAATAACATAATCTGTCAGAAAAATTCAAGAAAGTTTAGATGATTTCACAGAACTTATACAATAAAATGTATCCTGTACTCTGCTCAGATTGAATTTCAAAGACAGTGTTAAGAAGTGGCACTCACATATGTATGAAAGGCTCCTTCTGTAGATCAGTGCTCTTTAAGATGAGGTCTCTGACACATAAAAGGCCAATCGTCTGCCTCTTGGTCCACGAGGAGGTTGATTTGGTGACATGATTGACAGCCTGCTCTGAGGGCATAATACTTGGAGAACTTCTTTCATAATGAAGATAGATGTCTCCTCTCAGCCGTATTATTTCGAGCTACATAAGGTCAACTGTGACTTAAGCGTTGCGTCAGTGGTTATAAAGAGTAGAAGTTTGGTTGGCAGACTTATTGTAAAAAAAAGTTGGTTAAAAAACTTAAAAAGAAAATCTGTCCTCTTCACTCATGATTCTTCTTTAGGTAGATAGGTTAAAGTAAATTTTCAGAATTTGTGTGCTTTTTTTTTATTTTTAATTTAGGCTTATTAGGGCTGGGCAATTAATCAAATTAATCTGATTGATTTAGGTTTTTAAGAATCGAGATTTTGAGGATTATTATGAAACAAACCTATTCCTGATTTTCTTACTTGCAAAGTGGGGTTATTGTAGTCAGGCTGGCGCCACCTAGTGCCTCTGCTCAGTTTAATTTCTTTCCTACAACTAGGTCAGGAATTGGAATACACTAGACAGTTCGCAAAAACCCCAGAAGTGCAAGTTCGGGCACCAGCCAATCAGCAAAGAGCCATACATTCTGTGTTGGCAACGATTCCCGAGATCGAGGATTTAAAGCCGGAACAAAGAGAATGTTTGGTGAATCTTCTTCCTACGAGATTTGGGAAAAGCTTAATATACCAGTTAACCCTGTTAGCGGTGCATTACATACATCATGACCAAATAGCCTCGATTGGTTAAATTAAAAAAAGTACCTGCCTACAGTTGAGCAAATAAATTTTAACGCTGTAAGGTCAGACGGTTTCCACAAGGTGAAACCGGCTGAGACTAGGGTTATTGTGCAGTT